CCCCCCAGCTCGGGATGGACCCATTCCCTGCTCACCAGCACCCGAGGAGCCCAAAGCCCATCACTGCAAGATTTATGACTCCTCTGACCTTGTCAAAATTGCTGAGTCAGATGGTGAAAGGCTTTTTTTTTTTTTGGTCTGCTGCATTCCCTGAGTTTTAAAAAAACAAAACACCCAAACCTGTGGGTTCCTGGAGCCTGGAAAGTTTTCCAGGTGCTCCCGTTTCCTCCTCCCGCAGGAAAGGTGGGATATTCCCAGCTTCCCCAGGGCAGAGGGGCTGCAGTCTTGGCCGAGCCCCCCCGAGCCCCCCGGGGTGGGCAGCAGGGGGGTGGGGGGAGGCAGCAGGAGGTTTTGGGGGTGTGAACCCTTTTTTTGGGGCGCTCGGTGCGAACCCTTTTTTTGGGGTGCTCGGTGCAAACTGGCACTCCCTGTGCAAGGGGGAGGGGGTTTCCCCCAGTGTTGCCCCTCCAGGGACATCCTTGGACCCTGGCAGTGCTGGGGTGGGGGGTGACATCACAGCCTGGCTGGTCTTTGGACCTTGTTCCATCCTGTCCTTTAAGGTTCCAAGTGCAGGGAGGGGGACAATCCTCCCTCCCCGAGGCTGGCCTGGACCCTCCCCAGCAGTGAGGCTGGGCCTGGGGCAGGGCTGGGCTTGGGGGGGGGGTGTTATCAGGGCTGTCCCAGCCCCAGGAGCAGCCTCTGTGCCCCCCCTGGGGCAGCACGATTACGGGGGGGCTGTGCCTCCCTGTGCCGCGCCGATAGCGCCGCTGGAGGTGGGACACGTCCTGGTGGAACAGGGGTACCAAGGAGGGGGGGGGTGTTCCCTGGGGAGCCATCGCTCATCCCAGGGCAGGGACCCCCCCCCTGGGAGCACCCCTGGCCTCCAGCATCCCCCCTACTCTGTTGCAGGGGAGCAGGACCATGGCTGAGAAGAGCTACCCGGGCCCAGGGGGCATCACGCCGCTGCAGCAGATGCTGGCCTCGGGGACAGGGGCCATCCTCACCTCACTCTTCGGTGAGGATCAGGGGACAGGGGGGAGCTGGGGGGCCTGGGGGCTGGCACAGCATGACTAGAGGAGGGGGTCGTTGCAGTGACGCCCCTGGACGTGGTGAAGATCCGGCTGCAGGCTCAGAGGACCCCCTTCTCCAAAGGTAACCCTGCTGGGGCAGGGTGGGGGGGTCTCCAGCCCGTGGGGATGTCTGGGTTGGTGGAGCTGGTGACGGGGATTTCTTGGCTCCAGAACGTGGGGCCATCACAAGGTGGTAGGTTACTCTGGGCCCCTCATCCTGACAGGCTCGGGGGGCCCCGCTGGGGGAGCTGGGCTGATGCTCAGCTCTGTCCTTCCCCCTCAGAGCCCCTGTGCTGCTGCCAAGCGGGGTCAGCA